ATATATATATATATATATATATATATATWTWTATWTWTATATATWTTTWTATRTRTATATRTRTWYTMTATRTRTATRWKATATAKWRTATATAYAYATATATRTRTRTRTRTGTGTGTGTGTGTGTGTGTGTGTGTGTATTTTTTTCTTTTTTGGTTCCAGGGATTGAACCCAAGGGCACTTAACATTAAACCACATACCAAGCCCTTTTTATTTTTTTATTTTGAAGTAGGGTCTCACTAGGTTTCTTGCTAATTTGCTGAGATTGGCTTTGTACCTTTGATCTTCCTGCCTCAGCCTCCAGATATGCTGGGATTATAAGAATGTGCCACTTTACCTAGCTAACTGGCATATACTTTTGTTTTAGGTGACAGCAATAAAGGTCTCAGAAATAAACTGCTAAAGTAGAGAGTAACAGAAGACCCTAATGTGCTTTTAAATGATGACACAGTTAACAAGGTTTTATATCTACTGAAAGAGAATGGGCAATAAAAAAAAAAGAAAATGAGAATTCCATTTTGAACAGATTTAAATCAAATCCTATGATGTAAAGCTATTTTTCAAATGAAAGAGGAAATTTCTTAGTAAATACAGAAACTTTCCATGTATTTTGAATTAACTTCACATCCATTTCATATGCTTTTAGTAAAATTTTGAGGTTTTCTTCCCATACACTTTGTAGGTTCAAATAGTAATGACATTTTTAACTTTGTGTTGTAAACTAATTTTAGGTTCAAAGAAATTTGTAAACTAAATAAAGTAGGAAAATCCTGTACATCCTTTGTCCAGCTTCTTCCAATGTCAACTATTTGCATAGTACAAGAAAACTGAAATTTGATATTAGTACAATCCAGATTGTTTGTGTAGTATGTGTGTGTGTGAGGGGGCGTAACTCTATGCGTATTATGACATACATAGCTTCCTGAAACTACCACCACAATCAAGATATACAAATGTGTTATCCCCAGAGGGCTCCCACTATCCCTTTATATCCCCATCAGTCCCCCCCAAATCTCTAAACTCTGACAAAATCACCAATCTGTTATTCTCCATCTCTACAGATATGCTATTTTAAGAATGTTCTAAAAGTAGAATTACATAGTATGCATCTTTTCAAAATTAGTATTTTGAAAATATTAATTTTCAAAATTAGTATCTTGAGGCCCATCTAACTTGCATGTATCAATACTTGATTCATTTTTAATATTTAGTAGTATTCCAACACATTCAATTTGATTTTTTAAAAAACAACTATCTGCTGTTAGATTAAATTTGGGTTGAATTGTGCACATCCTTCTTCCCCTTAAAATTCATGTGGAATTCCTAAACTTCAGCACCATATGTAGAGATAGGGCATAAAGAGTAATTAAGGTAAAATGAGGTTCTATGAGAAAGACCTAATATCTGACATGTTTATAAGTAAAGTATATTAGAAAAATCTTGTGAAGGTGTGTGAGAAAATAGTCACCTTTATATATACCAAGAAAGAAGCCTCAGAATGAAATCAACCCTGCTGACAACTTGATGTTGGACTTTGAGCCTACAAAACTGTCAGAAATAAATGTATACTTTTTATGTGCATATAAATGTATACTTTTTATGTACATATAAATGTATACTTTTTATGTACATACACATACATACACACACAGTATGAATGTTATATTTTTATGTTGTGTTTGCTATTACTTTCCCTAGCAAACTAAAATGGTGCATAAAACTAGTTTTGTCTTTATAAATTTATATCATATCCATGTGCTCATTTATAATACCTTTCATTTTAGGAGGTGTTGGGACTGAATCCAAGTCCTCAAACATGCTAGGCAAGCATTCTAGCACTGAGCTCAATGTATAGCCTTATTCATAAAACCTTCTGCTCTAAGGTAATCACTCATGTATCCATATAATTTGTAAACACACCTTTAAAAAGTTTTCTTTTTATCTCTGAAGCTTTTCCTATATCATGTTCAAAAATATTATGTATACACATAAAAATCATGAAAGTTTTTGTGGTTGACAACAGCACAATAAAAAATTTAGAGGGTTATAAAGGGAATAAATATTTAATTGAATTTATCAGATTTTTAAAACAGTTTATTTTTCACTATAAACAAACAGCATTTATATATTCTCTATATATAACATTTATATAGGCATACTGTGTGTGTATACACATATACATACACATATATACACACACAGAATGAATTTTTGCTATTTTTAAGAGTGGATAAGGCTGGCTGGAATGCTTTTACAATACATAGAAGACTTGTAATTAAAATAACTTCTTACTATTTGCTTTTTTGACATGAAAAAGGAATAGTAGCATGAGAGGCAATTAAAATTCAATTCATTTAGTAACATTATTTATGACTGATGTTTGATGTTTTATGGACTTATTAAAAGATATTGTTATATGATTATATTAAAAATAAATACATACATATTAGGGAGAAGCATTTTATCTTATTAACCTTATTGGTAAGAAGAATTTTCAAAAATATCATTGTGTGTGTTAAGAACAAGAACATAAACCAAAAATTCTTGTTTTGTCCTGCATAGCATATATGTTTGCACTGTGCCTAGGGTGTAGGTCCATCAGGGATACTGTGCATAAAAAGAAATCATGAATCTTTTTAAAAATGTTTTTAAATTAGATATTGATAGACTTATTTATTTATTTATATGTGGTTCTGAGAATCAAACCCAGTGCCTTGCACATGATAGGCAAGTGCTCTACCACTTGAGCCACAATTCCAGCCCAAGGAATTATGAATCTTTTGAGAGAATAGCATTGGAACTTACCATCTTGATCCGTAGTCACTGTAATAGCTGTGAACGGTTTGGGAGAAAAACTCAACTCGGAAACTCCATTCATGGCTTCTATTTCAAAGGTGTAATTCACGTGAGACACAAAGTCAAGTACTACCACGGAATTGTTGATCAGGCCAGTGTGTCTTGGGATGAAGCGGAGTCCTCCACCACAGTCCTCACACTGGCTGGGGTCTAAGCCACATTTCTTACAGATTACACTGTATGTGAGATCTTTCCTCCCTCCTGTATCACTTGGTGGGCTCCATTCCAAAATAAGGGCTGTTTCATTGATGTTAAAAACCACATTCCTAGGAGCTGAAGGTGGCCCTAGAGAAAAGCAATTAAAAAAAAAAAAAAACAAACAAATGTACATGTATAGGACAATCAATCATGCTGCTAAATTGAAAACTTCATCAACAAGTATTTGTTGGTCTTTTATAGCTCTTTCTCTAATAGAAATTATAAAGATTATATGATTAAACATATCTGATTATGCCTAGTGAGGAAAGAGTCTTTAGAAGGTGAAGGCAGTCCATAGTCTAACTTTGGGTGTGTGAATCCCAAAATTTAATGCCAAATATAGCAAGTCTCCAAAAGATATGGTAACTATATTTCTCAAATTTGTTGACTGAAGAATATACAACAAAAATTATTTTGAATTACATGATGACTTCAATTATTATCTTACTAAATATATCATTAACTTCAAAATTTGAAAAATTAAAAACATGCACATGCATAATACACGGTGTTCAGATTTTCAGTCTTCATACTATGGCTAGTATGTAGCTAAAACCTCCATTCATTACCTTTAACAATCACTCAGATTCTGTTCTCCAAAGATTGAGAATAAATGAACATGAATTTAGAGAGGGCAGAAAATGAAGAAGAGAAATGGAAATTGGGGCAGCAGAAAACCTTTATGATTGCCTTGCCTATTTGAAGATATATAAGCATAATATGGCAGGGGTAAAAAGGAGCTATAAATAATATATGGTCAGGGTGGGGATGTGGCTCAAGCGGTAGCGCGCTYGCCTGGCATGCACGGGGCACTGGGTTTGATCCTCAGCACCACATAAAAATAAAATAAAGATGCTGTGTCCACTGAAAACTAAGAAATATCTAAAAACACACACTCTCTCTCTCTCTCTCTCTCTCTCTCTTTCTCTCAAAAAAAATAATATATGGTCACTAGACCTTTAATAAACACAAATAATTATGTCACTAAATGTCTGCCCCTAAAAGAAACGTGCATAATTCTCTTATCATAAAACAGCCGAAACCAAACTGTCTAGGGGTGAGCGAGCATTTTCTTCCTCCCTAGTTTTCCAGACAGATCACACTATGTAGAATCCTTAACAGCCTTTCATTAGCCCATCCTTTTAAAATTATGCCAAAAATCATTTAGACTTATCTGAGTCCTTCAAACTTCAGTTTCCTATCATTCACTGATCATATATTACCTGAAGGTCTACTCACTGTCAGACACTGTGTTAAGGGCTGTGTGTGAAGCACCACTGAATTCATAGGCTGTGAGAGCAGAGCTTACAATTAATATTTTAAAAAATAACTCACTGTATAAGTGGCTGAACAAACAACATATTTGTGCCATAATTTGAAAGGATTTGTTTTAAGAAATCTAAATCAACTCTCTAAATTTCTGTGGCCAAGAAAATCTACTTAGAAAATGGAAAAGAGTTCTTCTGCAACATGCTCTCTAGAAATTAGAATTTTGTGTAGGCTTCTTTTGAAGATTTCAAGCTATAGTCATTCATTCATTAAATAAATATTTGTTTAGTGACTACTATGAGGTAGATACTATGCTAGATTTTCAACTCCAAGTGGTAAAACATGGTAGACTTCATTATTTCTTTTTATTTACATTTAATGGACTGGTTAGATAAACATATGAATATAAAAAACAAATGAAATGTAAATTATAAAAAATATAATCATAGAAATTAAAGGACAGGAATTGAAATAAAAATTTTCAGAAGGACTCCTAGTTTTGGTAACATTCTATGGAAGCCCTGTAGATGTGAGGGGAAGGGTGTGCAGAAGAATGGGAGGAATGCTAGAAATTAAAAGGCTATGGTTTTCTGTCAGGAAAGATCTTTAAATAGTCATGGGACTGGCAGAAAAGCAATGTGGCTAGAGTATGTGGAATGAGTTTTACGGAACAGGAAAAGGCTATCTTATGCTGGACTACTAAGCTCACTGAAATGAACATGGAAATTTTCCTATGCACAACAGGAAGAAACAGATTTTATGCATGGAAGGAATGTGTTTTAAGAATAACATTTCAACTGCAATGGTCTGAATAAGAGGGGAAACAGCAGTGAGATCTGTTACTCAGAGTTAAAGTAGCATAATACTAGCTATAAATCCATGTGATTGGCTTTGAAGTATGAAGAAGTGTTATATTTTCCTTTTTCTTTCTGCTAGATCCTCATTTCAGCAATCTGTAGGATAGGTTCCTCAGCCACCTGTATTCATGTTATCCACAGCTAGACCTAGAAATGTGATGGGTAGTGTTTCTAAAAGGTGCTGGGTGTCTAGATTTATGCCATTTTGTATTTCAGAGTGTTTAGAGAAATATCTGCCTCCAATAAGGAAAACATGGAGAAGTTAATGAACTTGAGCACAAGTGCAAAAGTGGTTTTTACCTTCAACCTAGACTTATGCCTGGGAGATAAAAATTCATTATCATTATCATAATAATGTCTTCCTACAGAATGACATATTCATATTGTTGGTTTTTCCTCTTATTTATAATGGAAAACATGAATTATTATTCACTTATATCTCCACGACTAGGGAGAATGTTATCAATTATCTTATGGGTGTCTACAAGTATATAACCGTCCGCCTGGAGATACTTAGAAAAAAACCAGAAAGACCGACACCCCTCTTACTCAAGGGCCCTCATACCAATTTGCATGACGATTAAATAGCTTTTTAATTGCTGTTAAATTATGCCAGCTAAACTGTGATTTCATGCAAATATTAAGCTGTAATGACATGCAGTGAATCATTTACTAAGATTTAGAACTTGGAACAAAGAGAGACAATTAATTCTAATCCTCACATTCACTAAATTATGTGTCACTGGGCTTTTATGAATGTGGCCTGATTGCTTTGTTATCATTTATAAATTATACAAAGATTATGTGACATGTTGAAAAAATAACCTGGCAGAAATAATCCTTTTGGAGACATCTGTATTAAAAACTCTCAGGGATTTCCTCATGTGGATTTTTTTTCTTTAACAAAACAAACAATTCACCTAAGAAAAACATTCTCCACCCTTCACTCTGCAGACTAACTTTACAAGAAAAATGGCAATTTTTCTAATTTTCAACTAGCGAGTTTTCAAACTCCTCATACAATAAGTCTAACGGCATTACTTCTATTAGTTTATCTATAATGTTATTTTCTACTAGTGTTTCTACTAGAAAACACGTTTTTGCTTCAATTTTGATTTCCTCTTAACACTTCTAAAGAATAAAGAAATAGTTTTTTAACAGTGAAACTTATGAGAAGCTTCCAGCAATAGTGTCTCTTCCCTGCTCAGGAAAGCCTCTGGCATGGCAGGCTCCCATCTTCCTGAATAGCAGAAACAAATCATACATGATTTTTATTCCATTTTATTTTGTTTTCGGTTTTTATGTAAAATTTAAAAAACAAATGTGTTACTCAAATATATCTGTACAGTGTGTTTAATCCCAAGTGATACCAAATCAAATTGAGTTTGGTGCTTGAGTAAGACTCCACTGGCAGACTGATGTTTGAGACAAAATGTAACAAAATTGCTTCACTTTGTTGACTCTACCATTTCCACAACATTTGTTCATAAGATCTTATTTTCCCCAAAGCAACTGGAGGGATACTAGCACTGTGCAGAACATCCTTAAATAAAGGCTAAATCCGGAGGAGAACAAGCTTAAGGGTAATATCTCAGATACTGCTTCACATGGTGTAAATTTATATTTTATGTTTATAATTATAAAATATGTTAACTGATAAATGGGCCGTTTTCATATTAACTGAAAAAGTATTGTTCACATTTTTAACTCTATTGCTAATGGTGGTTTGCTGATACATTTTTTGATCTTAAGAACAAAAAAAGTTTTCATATGAGGATAGAAAGTTATGAAAGAGTGTTGCTTTTAAATTCTATTTGACCAGTTCTTAAGTTACTAGCTTCATTAGCTTAATGACTAACCAGGAAGCACTGGTACAGTTTCCTAATAGAAAGCAAATTTATTCATGTTTGAGCTTATGAAGGAGGTATGCTAACCTGAGTCAAAGAAACGTTAAAAGCACATACTGAACTATCTAAAAATGTTTAGGTAAATACTTTTGCAAATGAGTAAGACTGTAGTATTTACCAAAGGAAAGTAAATACATTGGTACAAATTTAAAAAGTACAATCATAGACATTAATATTGTATTAAAATATGTTTATATGTTTACAAAAAGACACAATTTAAAACATTCACCCTTTGTATCACTATTAATTTTAACTTTTATTTACAGTCATATTGTAAATCTAAACATGCTTTAAATGTAATCTTTTAAAAATGTACCTAAAAGAATCATTTGTAAATAAAATTTTGTATCCTCCCCCTCTAACCACTTCTTGCTCTATGTATAATTTATTTTTTAATTAGATATTTGGAAAATTATGTCAATTAATGACAAAACTGAAACTATAATGTGGACACTATGAAAGAAGTATATCCATTAATTGAGGTTAATCTATAGGTACAAATATTATGTGAAAGTCATGAAGCTATTTAGCTTAGAATGATACATCACTATTTTACATTTAGATTTGTTTTTAAACTCTACCACATTGTGCTCTGCCTAGAGACAGAATGTGTGGCAAATAAATATTAAAAGTATTTTATGTAGTTCTTTTATTTCAAGTATTGTCAAATATGAATTTTTTAAAACAAAAAGTAAGTAAAAATTATTTTTTTTCTTAGAAGAGACACCCTTAATAATCCTTAGACCATTTAATAATTTTATATATGAAAGACCAATTAAGATTTAAGTTTTCAAGGTAAATATTCCTCAAAATTCAGCAGCATGTATACTTCATATCCTTTGCATTCTATGTAAAAAAAAGCTGGCTTCTCATTATCTTCAATATTTTTATACCTACTTTCAGTAAATAAATTTTTTATCCATTAGTGTTCTAATAGTACCACAATTAAAGATTTGTATGATTTTTTGATTTTCTATTATTCCTAAAATTCATAATTAAAGAAAACAAATAAAAAAACAAATAGACAAAGTATCATTAATTTCTAAAATAAGAT